CCCTGCCTGCCCTCCAATAAACCATTCATGCTGAAGACATACAAACTGTCTCAAATTTTTAAAGAGCTATTATGAATCAGAATAAAAATACTCCTCCCTATCTAGCAACAACATACCATCTTGGAGCCCTAATAACTCCATCCATTCTGCAGTAAGGGCATGTCTAATTTATATAAACTCTTTTTTATTCTGGGATACAACACAAAATCTAGTGGAGGGAAGACTGAACATTATGACATCACCCAGGAGAGGTAGGTTATCACACATCATACTATTCAGTGGTCTGATAAGGCTTTTCATTAACTGACCCACCTCACACCCAAAGAGAGGAACAGAACAGTATCACTAGTATACAGCAATACCATAACAAATAATTAAATTCAAACTCACATCCTCTTTATATTCTTGGAACCACATTCTAAAAAATACTTTAATCCCAAAGAAACAGATTAAATCTAAACACAAGCAAAGACAAGATCTTGGACTGATGACCTGCTGGAGCTGACCCAAAGCAGCAGCCTCTCCCCAGACCGCTGTGCATTTTGGATCATGGCCCTTAGCTCTTCTCATCTGTTTGTGCATTGCCTACAACCTCAGCAGAGCTGTGCACCCCTTTGAAGTGGCTCTTCACATTTCAGCAACAATGCAGCATAGCAGGACTCAGTAAAGGAAAAGACAACTACTGTCCAAGAATATCCTTTTTCTTTTCCTGATAATGGCTTGAACTTAAAGCAGGTAAACACCCCAAGCCTGTTGCTTCCCAGCTTTTCCTCAAAGTGAGAATTTCACATGGGGCCAAGGACACACTGACACAGTCAATGCAAACCGAGCAGCATTCCTAGCCTGGCCTGCTGTGCTCACCACAGGAGCGTCTTCCATCACTTCCCTCCTCCTGTATTCCCTCCCTGCATGATCAGAACAGCATGGGAGATGCTACAGTGCTTGTTTTACAGAGTAAGAGCATACATGTCAGCTGCCAGCAAGGCAAGTGTTCCTGGATCACAGGCTAAAGATGGAGTAAGATCTATTAATTCATGCAGGCTATCTCGCTCTGTACAGACATCCAATCCAAGCTAGCAAGGAATGACTGTCCCTTCCAGCAGACCACACCAGGGAGCTGAGCAGTTGACTCCCAGCACAAGAACTGCCTGCTGACTAAAGAGCCTTGTTTCCAAAACCTCCACCCTAATCCCCAGGCACAGTTCAGCCAGGGGAGATGTGACCCTGAGCCGCCAGTCCTGTAGAACATTTTCCAGGGCTCTCTGCAAGCTTTACGCGATGCCAACCAACACTACCAGCATTTTTCACGTAAGATTACTTAGCTTCATTCCAAGTAGCTTTTCTTGATGTTCAAGTTACTTTCTCTTTTGCAGCCCATTAGGTCTAGTTGCACCCTCTTGCACAGGCTAAGCGATTAGCTCAGGGACCCATACCTGAAATTGCTGGTGTCTTTGCTTCTTAGATAATCTATAGTAAGCATTTTTAATCATTCCTCAGAAACTAGTCCTTTTGCCCTCCTAATCAGCTCCTTCCCTGAGAAACTTTCAAAGGGCAGGTGTCCAATATTTCAGTCAGGGAGCCAGATGCAGCCACACTGCACATGTAAAGTCTGTTATTCTTCCACTCATAACTGGGGTATCACAGACAACTGAGCTGTCTCGTATCACTGCTTCCCTGCAGCAGCCATGCCCGACCACAGGCCTTTGATTTGTTCCAGCCCTGTGACTGTGTGTGCTTTCACACCCAATATGCACGTTAACCTATCCCTCATTTCCTTTCCCCATTTCCAACCCTCAGTCTCCTCAGATTGCTCCGCACCGTTGGTCTGTCTGCAGAGGGACAGTTTATTGCCAATAACTGCAGACACGTAAGTTTTACACATGAAAAGGTAAAATCCACTGAGCTCTTCTGATGCCTTTCACATTCCTTCCTCAGTTGTCATCCTCCTTGTTCCTATATCACACTACCCCTGAGCAGAGAAACACGTTTTATTCTTGTACAGGAGAAGCAACACCACATTCCCCAGAAGAGCTGTTGCTTTGTCTGCTCCCACAAGCAGCGTAAATGGGTTCCTCTCTGGTGATACCCAATACCTTTGGGATGACAACTGTGCCCCAAACCACTCACCAGCCTCCCAAGCAGATTGAATTTCAGCTTGAGCAACACAAAGGACTATATTGTGGCTATCTCATGGGCAGAAAGGGATTTGAGGCTCACGGTTCCTGTGAGTTTTCCAGTAGTCATAGCATAATGTGACAGAAAGTAAACATCTTTCAAGTGGAAATACTTCAGAACACAACTGACATCCCTTTTTTCTTTCTTATTTTTTTGAACCTGTCTTTGTTTCAGATCCATAATCACTAAAAGAAACAACGTTCCACTCAATTGTCTGAGCAAAGGAATGCCCAGCACCGTTATGTGGGGGTTTCAGAGTTAGCTGTCAGGTTGTGTTTAGCATTCTGCACCGGTCCTATGGTTTGGCTTGCCTGGAAATTTTAAATGCAAATGTATTTTCAGGGTGGCATGAGAGAACAATATCAGAATTTTACCTCACACGACAGCTCCTCGCTCTGTTCAACTCCCTTTTCTTCCTCCCCATATACACAGATTTTGCAGCTACAAAAAAGGCTTAAACGAGAAAATCTTAACCTATTATTTTTTCCTATTGAAAGACTTTCCCTGGCCCTTCTGCTTCAACAAACCTAAACTACACTTTAAATAATGCTTTAAAATCGCCTACGACTCCAACTAGAGACGTAGAGCAGGCAAGCAATTTCTTTAATAGCAGGGAATAACAGCACTTAATTCAAATCATCCCCATACAGTATTTTTCATCTTCCAAGGGCTAACTATGCACTAGCTAATACACCACTGCTTTATCCACATCCCAAACTCGCCAGTCTTATCCTTACAAACCAGGGGATCAGCAAACACCCCTGAGAGGATGTGCTGCTGGACAAACATTTGTCATTTTCTTCTGTTCTTTGTGCTTAGTGTCAATGAGTCCCGGGCCACAGATGCAGGCAGATAATTACCAGCTCTCATAATTCAACAGTTCCTTGAGAGGCTGTGACAGGGCTATCGGAGAGGCAAATTTTTCACTGACCTTATTAGGAAGGCATTTATTGAGCAGTGACATTGAACCACTTCAAACACTGCTAAATGATCAGAACCAGACCCAATAGTTTTCTTCCTGGAGCAAGGATGCTGTTGCCCATGTGTGGGACCAGCCACTTGTGCAAATCCAGGCATGACCTGAGCACAGCTCAGCAGTTTGTGCTGAGCTGCATGAGATCAGAACACATTCTAGAAATTATAGTGCCTCTATGGTGCAGCAAAAAAAGCTCCAATTATCCCTTTAAAGAACAGCTTTTTGGTGTGCATTTGTGGTTTATTTTCAAACACATACGCAAGAGCGATACTTCAAAGAAAAATAAAGAAGGAGGCCAGAAGATCAGTGGGCACAAATGATCTGAGTCTCCAGCTCTGGACCAATCTACCTTGTTGCAGTTAATATCCATTGGAATATTTAACTCTATGGTTCAAAGAGGAAATACTATTTTTAGCCATTACCTATTACTTTCGTTCAGAGATTAAGTGCCACTCACAGTTCTATTACTGATCTTGCATTTTAGCATGTGTATTTACAGAGCTGTTCATTGATCCTGCTGCCTTCTAGACTTAAAGAAAAAAATTAAAGTCATTTTACTGGTGTGCTTTATTGCAGCTAGATTTTACAACTATAATTCTACCTGTTGGAAAAATTAAAAGAAAATGCTTCCAAAGTGGAAGTGGTAGGAGGTATGGCTGCAACCCAAGGACCAGATTTTTTTAAGTTCTCAGGGCTTGATTTTCTTAAGCGCTGAAGATTCAGAACTTGGCTTACATAGACACATTTCCCTCAGTATCCCCCAAAGCACTCTTGATACAAAAGTTTGAAAACTGAAAACAAAGACCTGAAAATCCAGCAATTTACTCTGGAGCCTAAACACAAACCTAAGAGTGTTCAAACTCTGGCTCTGTCTCGAGTGATGAGTAAGTACTTCTGGAAATTCCTCTTACATTGTCTGCTTTGCAATGTCTCTTTTACTGCACATCCACTGGGAACATGTCTCAATTCCATATTTCTTCCAGAGTCTTCCCCTAATTAGATTATTAATGAGAAACAGAAAGATGAAGCATTAAGTCTTTCCATCAGTGGTGTATATTATAAATATGAAATCGCTGTCAATACATGTTTCATAGGAAGTCACATAATTACTAGTCTGCCACAGAGGAACCAGAGTTACACACTGTATTCACCTGACTCCCAGAACCAAGTTTTAGCTCCGCTGCACTTTGGCTACAGGAGAAGTTACAACAAAGACCAGTTTTGCCAGGCACCACCACAGCTCTACATCCAACTATGTGCTACATGCCAAGTGGGTTCATTGTTCTATAGCTGGCCTATACTGAACTATTTCTTTTATTCAAGTTGTAAGAAAGCTGCCTAATCATCACCTAATAGCTGTCTTTTCCTAAAAGCCCATAGGTGCATGAGAGGGAAGAAATTAAAAGTATTTATTTTAAATGAAGCATCAAAATCTAGCTTTAGAGCTACCTTCCCAGTATTCATCGGCACGCTAGTAAACACAAACCTTGATTATTTCCTGCAATTTAACATGAGATGCTTACAAGTATGCTAGCTGGAAATGATGAGCATTAGAAATGCTAAATCATTTCCTCGAACCTTTTTCTAAGGCTGTTCTCTCTTGTTGCTTCTACAGTATCAAAACACTGGCACGCACCCAACTTTAGTGTATTCTTGAAGAACATGAAGACACCAGACCTCTACCAGGGACCACTTACAAGCTGCCAAAATGAACAGCGACTGCACACACGCACACGTCGAGAGGGACAAGCCCATCTCCCGCAGGAGCTATCGGAGATTATACACTTCAGGCTGGAAACATGCAAAATCATTCCGCAAAAAATATCTTACTCATGCATAGAGGTCTTACTTGCGTGAATAAGGCTTAGAGCAGTCAGCCCACAGGAATCACATTTACAGCCAACTCCAGTTACCTGAGATCGCTATTTCAGACTGGAAGAGAAGGAGAGCAGCGTCTGCACAAACACTGATGGAATATTCACGCAGGGAGCAAAACCTGCGAGCTCCAGCATTCGCAGGGATCATCCAAACGGCTGCTGCCAGGGCTGCTCCATCGCACTCCACGGCAGAAACAAAGCCCAGAGCCCCCGAGCCCAGCGGGA